GCTCCTCTCGAGGGCCAGGTGATGCTTTCGGTCTATTTATCCATCTATTTATTTGCTTATTTTTCCTTTATTTGTGGCCGCGAGGCCAGGGGTGCCCCTTGGCGGCGCTGCCATTCCTGGCTTGTCCCTGCAGAGCCGGGACCTGCTCCGTGCATCCCTTTTCCGTGCATCCATGCGGGCTCCCATCTCGCGCCTATACGGAATAACTCCGTAATTCTCTTCTTATTCAATTAGGAATTTAATGCGCAATCAGGTGATCGCTTTAAGAGGATTTTCTATAAGTCGGGATTTGAATAACTGGGCTTCGAGTAATAAGTTCCCTTAACTGGTTTATTCGTTTATCAGATTTTTTTCCTCCCTAAGCACTTTAATGCGTTTCTTTTCCCATTGTCGCTGCTTTTCGCCCCGTTCTTCCTCCCTCCGAGCTTATGCAAATCCCCCGTTAAGGCGGTTAGTGCCACAGCCTGGGCCTTGGCCGCGCTTCCCGGCGCCTCCTTTTCGCTTTTGGAGGTGGCAGCAGTTGTCCAGGTTTCCCACAGATCCTGGGGGCTGCAATTATCCTGCTCGCCTTTGAGGGAGCGTTCACTCTGAAACCTACTGATGGCTTCTTGGAAATCCGAATGGGTGAAAGGATGAGGAGTGGGCCGCAGTGTGACAAAACTCGTAGTAATGTAGTGACAGCCCGCGGGGCTGTATTTCTTGTTGAGTCAGTGCCCTCATTTACCTAAAACGAGCACTCAAAGTAGGGCCCAATGTGCAAAAGTCTCCCTGGCTCTGTCCCCCGGGTCTGGACTGGGACCATCTAACTCGTGTCAGCAGTAGCGACCCCGGCAGGGCTGCATCCCTCGTGGCTCCCACAGGGAACAGAGGATTTCCCAGAGCTGCAGCTTTGCTCCTGGCTGCGAGGTCCTTGTCACCCTGCTGCGGGGGACGCTCCCCCGCGGGTGTCAGGGCTCCCTGCCCTTGGAGAAAGGCTCTTTTTGGCAACCTGGGGCTGTCAGGAGCCCCCAGGGTGGGCGAGAGCCCCAGCTCGGGCCCTTCCTTCCTTTGCGGCTGCTGCTCGGGGCTGCGCACGTCTGCAGCAATTATGCAAAGCTGCAATCAAGGAACTGAATTAGCAGCTTGGATTAATTAGGGATGGATGCAAATCTGTTCCACCATGGAAAGGGAGGGTAAAGGCTGTGTGCGTCCTCTGCGGGTTTCTGCAGCTCTCCAGCCTGGGGTGGGAGGGATGCTCAGAGCAACTCTGAATCACGGCATCCAGCTGGGAAAAGTTTGTCCTGGTCCTTGGTAGCCGGCTGGGAGCCCAAAGGTGAGAAACTGGCCTCAAATTCAGCCTCTCTTCCCACAGGGAATGGATTAAATCTGGGATTTGGAGCAACCCTTTCTTTGCTCCGAGCCCTTTTGCAAGGGCCGGGGAGGAACGTGGTTAGAACGCGGTTTTCCACCCGGGGGTGCACGTGCCGGAGCAGCTGCAGGGGGTTCTGCAAAGTGGGGGCTGGAGGGCACATGTTGCTTAGGTGCCCCTGCACTGGGGACAGCAGGGACAAGCTCTTCCTCCGCTCCCGGATGGTGGCGGGTGAGTGGGGAATCGGGTGCGGAGCCTGATGGGCTGGAGACCTGGACTGTGGTCCATGCGGGAGCCCCCCGGGATCAGCTCCCAATCCATCAGATGCCCTTGGGCTGCAGGGGCCGCTTTTCCTGCCTTTTAAAGTGGGTCAAGCAGAAAGGCCGGGAGCCTCCGCACTCGCATCCCCAGCAAGCCGCATCAGCCCTGAATTATTCAGACCCAGGTAAAATATTTAAGAGCCCAGTGCAGCTCAGAGGGAGAGGCTGGATTAGGGGATCCCTGAATGACCCCCGGTCTCACCCCCAAAACACCCTCACTGCCCCCATGGGCCCCCCAGGCTCCCTCAGATCTCACCCCTTGTGGGAACCTGCCCTGTCCTGGCATGGGGACTCTGCAGCACCCATCACTCAGGTCACTGTCCGCGGCTTCAGGAGGGGGAAAAAATCCTCCTTGCAGCTAGTGCATGGAGCCTTGCACGTGCTCAGCCACGAGCGGAGCAGATAAACTAAGGCCTCTGGCTCACTTGGTCTCTACAGTCACGTATATAAGTAAGTGAGACAGTTTGCTTGCTCTGGGCCAAATTCAGGCGATTTCAACCAAGGAGAAAAGATGGAAATTTCCACCTGTCTCCTTTTCTCTTTCCCCTTGGCTGCACTTGCTGGAGCCCCTTTGCTGAGCTCCGCTCCCGGCACCGAGGCTCCCGAGGAGCTGCCGCCTGTTTGGTCGCTGTAATTTCCTGCAGCGCGGGAGGCAGCGGCGCATCCCGCCGGGCCGCGCGCGGATTTATCCGAGGCGGCAGTTATTGACTGCGAGGAGATTGTAATTCACAGCCCAGCTCCTGGCGCTTGCAGGGAGCAGTAACTCATCCCCTCCCTGCTGCCTTTCGCCCCCACATCCATCCACCCCTCGCTCCAGGGAAGGCCGGGAGTACCTGGGAAGCTCAGCAAACGCTTGGGGCCTCTTGCAGAGTCCCTCCTTTTGCACCCGTCTGTCACCCTTGGGGACAGCTCGTGCTGGCCCCATTGGCTCCCTTTGTGCCAGAGCCACTTGTGTGGACCGGAACACTCCTGGCTCCCTACCGGAGTAAAGCTAAGGTAGGAAATGAAAATACTTGGGGCATCCTCCTTAAGAGAGGGAAGCGGAGGGCAATCAGCATCAGGCCTCACGCAGTGCCCACACTGAGCTCTTCTTGGTACCTATGGATGGTACCTATGGATGGTGGAGGAGCAGGAGGGTGAAGGGGGCTGCGGCGAGAGGGAGCAGGAGGAGGAGGGGAAGAGGAGGAGGAGGAGGAGCGGAGGGGAGGAGGCAGGAGGGATGCGGGGGGGCAGGGGGGTCTC